TGCGCGCGGCCACTTGCTGCGGACTCGAGTGGCCGATCTGCCTCCGTCTGCGGTGCACCACTTGCCGCACAGGTTCGAGGATCTACCTGCTGACGTTCGTCAGGCCGCATATGGCTCAGGATCGCCTGGGCAGCAGCTCGTCCCCTTGACGCAGCTGCAGGCGCTTCTGGAGAGGATGCCTCTGCGGCGCACGGGTAGGCTGGCCCCGCCTGAGTTGCAGCAGGACTCTGTGGAGCGCGTGGTGCATCAGGCTTTGCGCCAGGTGCTGCAGCAGGGACATCCCGCACTGCGGATCATGCGCGCAGGCTTGCGCTCGCACGATGGCTCGCAGACGTCGCAGGAGCGGGGCTCTCGGCTAAATAAATATAAATACATATATATAACTGTTGCGCGCACGTCATGCTCGTGTTAGCGATCGCGCGCGCGTGCACGCACACAAGACATGCGCGCAGACGCACGCACGCGCGCACACATACGCACGCATGGAGCTGGCAGGCCTCTTCACCGCGGCTGCCGGCCATAGAGGACGCATCGCCTGCGGGCAGCTTCGTCGAGGGCTTGGACACGTTGATTGAGTCAGCGGGCCCGCCCGCAGCAGCTTCCCGGCAGCAAGCTCTGCCACACATAGCGGCCACGGCCGCTACAGCCGCGCCAAGTGCCCCTCGTGGAGCTCCTCTTCCTGCAGCTCTTCTGCAGACCGCAGCAGCGGCAGTGGCTCCGCAGGAAGCACGTGAAGCAGGAGCGGAGACATCTCTTTGCGCCGAGATCCTCGCCACTCCGACGGGGACCGTGGAGCAGACAGCAGCAGCGCCGCCGGCGGATTCTGTCCCGAAGCCAGCGCTTGCGGTCATGCGGAAGCCGCTTCAAGCAGCAAGCGCCGCGCCACAGGCACCAAGCGCCTACCAGGCCACAGTGATGCAGTTGAAGGACGCCCTGAACTCGCGCGCAGCGATGAAGCGCCCTGCAGCCGCCGTGACTGCGTGCGCAGAGGCTCCCATGGGCGCAGCCAAAGCGAAGGCAGCTCCCGTCGCAGCCAAAGCAAAGGCAGATCCCATTAAAAACACTGCAGGCAAGGGCTTTGCTAAGGGGAAAGCTGTGCCAAAGCAGCGGGCCGCTATGAAGCGACCCGCTGCAGCTACAGCTAAGGGGAAAGCAAAGTCGAAGCCGCTGAAGCCTTTTCCTTCTCAGAAACAGAGGCTCAAGCTTTTTCCGCACGGCTGCGGCAAGTGCCGCGGTCGCAGGGGCTGCACCCCTAGCTGCTGGGTGTATAGAGGGCATGCCCCACCCTGCAATCTATAGAGCATGCTCGGGAGGAAAACGGGCTGGTGTGGCGCATGTGTTTGTGTGTGTCCGTCTGAGAGTGTGTGTGTGTGTGCGCGTGTGTTTTTTTTGTCCGTTTGTGTGCGCCTGTGTTTGTGCGCGCGCTGTGCGCGTTTGTGCCTGCATGCATGCGCGCACGCGCGTGTGGGTGTTAGGGCGCGTGCGGCGCACGTGCGTGTTCGTGCGCGATTGTTTTTTGTTGTTGTTTTTTCCCATGGTTTTTGCATGGTTTTTGCATGTGTGCGCGCGGGCAAGTCTGCGACCCGCAGAAGCAACGCGGCCACGTAGCCGCGCGCAGCACTCCGCGGCCGTCGCCGCGAAGCGCGTGCGGCGGCTAAGCTTCCATGCATGGCATGCATGCTTTCGGCCCAAGCCACTCATGCATGCAGGAAGGCCACGCATGCGTGCATGAGGTGAGGCAGCTCAGGCGGCATGCGCACGTGCATGAGGCTATTCGAAGGTACACAGGTGCAGCCGCCCAGTTGTCGCGAGCCATGGGTCGCGGCTGCTGCGGCTGTTGCCGCTGCTGCTGCCACTGCTGCTGCTGCTGCTGCCGCTGCCGGCGGCGCCGCTGGCGCGACTCCAGCTCCGAGCGCGAGGACAGCTGGAGCTGTGGGAGGAGCCGCGGGAGGAGCCGCGGCAGGAACAGCGCGCGGAGCGTGGCGCCAAGCGCGGCGGAGAACGCGGAGAAGGACAAGAAGGAGACCGCGGAGAAGGACGCGGACAACAAGGGCAAGAAGGACAAGAAGGATAAGAAAGACAAGAAGACCAAGAAGGACAAGAAGGACAAAAGCAGCAAGAAGGACAAGAAGGAGAAAAAGGACCGCGCGGTCAAGCACGAGAACGCAGAGGATGAGCAGCTCAGCTTGGACCAGGACATCCTGCAGCAGCGCCACATGCAGGATGATCTCGAGGAGGAGGAGGAGGAGGAGTACTCGGAGTACACGCCGGAGCGCGTGGGGGATGAGCCGGCGGCCATTGCCGCACTGGCGCAGATCGCGGAGACGCTGGATGCGCCGCAGGCGGCGGCGCCGCCTGCGGCCGTGCCAATGCCGCCTGCGGCTGCGGCTTCGCCGAAGACGCCGCAAGCGGCTGCGGCTGTGCCGAAGACGGCCGCGGCCGTGGTGGCTGCGCCGAAAACGCCGCCCGCGAAGGCTGCGGCGCCGCCCGCTGCAGCGACCCCTGCTGCCCCTGCTGCAGCCTGCGCGGCTCCTGCAGCAGACGAGGCCCCGGTGGCTCCTTCGCTGCCAAAGATGCCCGCGCTCGCTTCGCCGAAGACGCCGCCGAAGGCATACCCTGGCGCCACGGGCAAGCACATGGCAGCTCCGCCATGGGCCGCGCCGCCTCCAGCTCCCGCCCCGAGGTCCGCAGCCAGCGGCAGCGGCGGCGGCGGCAGCAGCGCGGCGGCGAAAGCGAAGGCCGAGAAGCAGCTCGGCGATAATAGCAGTGCTGCTGTCGTGCGTGGCTTTTTTACTGAAGCGGCTCAGCCGCTCTTCCTCTTTTTTTCACTCGTCCCCTCCGCCCTGCAGGTCGAAGCGGCAGCATGCCTTCGAGGAGAAGGGCTACAAGCGCCCTCGCGGTGGCAAGAAGAAGTGACGCGCTTTGCCGTGGGGGGAAAATCGGGGAGAGGGTGGGACTAAGCGGCCTTGCCGCTGATGTCTCTTAGCGCGACTGCGCAGGATTAGTGTATTAATGTGCATGTCGATGGCTTATGAGTATTTGTGTATATATATATATGTATATTTTTGCTTTTAAGGATTTATTATTTAGAAATTTTGTTTTTCGCCTCTTGCATATAGCCTATATTGACTGACTGGAATTCATTGAGATTTGCCTGAAGGCGCTTTGTTTTTCATGGCAGTCAGCGTGTTGCAAGCAGAATTGCTTTGTAGGAGCTCCGCGGTCATGCATTTGATTTTCTGCCTTGGCATGCAGATTCGTTCTTTGTAGTTGTGTTTTGCGCCGCCTTCGCGCAAGCCTTCGGTCTTTGCGGCATAGACTTTCGGGCGGGGCATTTTTTCGCCAGACGCTTTTGGGGCAGCTGCCTTGCTGTGAGCCGGAGTGTGCAAGTTATTTTGCGAGCAGGATCGCCAGTGGGTTTCTGCAGCTGCGCCAGGCTCATTTGCTTCGTTTTCCTGCAGAGTTTCAGGCAAGCGGACTCGTTGCTCAGCTGGGCCTTCCGTGTATAGGTTTCAGGCGGAGGGACCCGCTGCTTCATCTTTGCGCGGGCCTTGGGGCGAGGCCAGGTTTCAGGTATAGAGGGGGCTCACTGCTCAGCTGCTTTTTTTTCGCAGGCCTCAAGGCTGCGACCAGTTGTCGGGCAAACGCTTTCGCTGCTGACGAGGGATTCTGTGCTCATGCTGGTCGCGTTCTTGGTGTTTTTTTTT